AGGATTCCCTCGGGAATCCTTAATCATAGGTAATAGTAGAACAGTGTGAGACATACGCAGTAAAGGGTCATTTAGCATTTATTTAAATATATTCCACTACCTGTCTTAATTCCCCATCCATAAGCCCCCATAACCACCGTTTTCGTAGGAAAACATGCAGGAGTAGGGATTAATGAATGGGCCTACATAAGCTACTGTTGCCCAATTATCCTTCACCAGTACCAACACCGGCTCGACCCGTCCACACTAGATAGCTGTCCCGACTACCGCCTTTTTCCACATGACTGTCGGCATCTGTTTGCCTGCAGTTCTCGGCCAGGCACCCAACTCATCCCCGCGGACCTTTGGCTCAAGTCGGTCGAGGTCTCGGCTTTTCTCCGTCTTCCAACTACTACCAGTTCGGATTCTGGCGGGGATTCCTGATCCAACTATGGGCTACCAAACACACACACACAGAAACTTAGGGTCGTGTTCACAATAGTACCCTCCTCCTGGTGACTCCTGGCTGCTTCCACTTGGGATTCGACCTGATGATTGTAGTGATGTAGGCACAACCATTGCTTATACCCCTACAGGACCATCTAGATAAGATAGGATCGTAGCCCTACAAAGTGCTGCATGGACTTACACTGTGTTGTTGACCATAAAATGGAACTGGCATTGCTTAATTGTATATTTTCTAGTTATTTCGACATCCTAATAAACTCAAATATATTCATTCTGTAAAACAGACAAAAATACGGTCGACTGTACGCATTTTCAGTTTAGTTCAATTTTGTTGAACAAAAAGGGAAAAATAGGCGAACGCCTCTGAGCTGGCTATGGGTAACAAAGTGGCTAAGAAATCCATTGATTCGGAATAAGCATTCTTAAAAGGGTCATTTACCTAATTGCAGGCGAAGAGCGAAGAGCCGTCAATTAGTGCAAAAGGATCAACATACACAACTACTGACTTATTACGAGCAGTATCATAAAAAGTATTTGATAGAGTCGCATTCATTAGCGTGTAGCTGATGAATTACAAGCTCGAGGCATATCCAGTTTGCTCTTAAATGAATTCAAACAGGTAGAGAAAACAAGAAAGTAGGTTTTATTGTCGGCAAAGACAAGGGAGACTGGGATGGCCAGTACTGGTTTCTTAGCCGTCGTCAGCCAGTCATACCCAAACCCAAGTGGTGCACCACTCGATGCTCAGACTCGCGACCTTCTTGAGTAGAGTCTAACTTCCTGAACATTGAGCCACGAGCTCGTTGTGTCGTCGGTTTAGGTCGGGAGATATTGATACTCCTTTATGCACGTGCATCTACGGCTAACGGAACTTACTTGCCACGCCCCGTTTTTTGTTTTGCGCATCATGTCTCGGTCCCTGACAGCAGCTGCAGCAGCTAGTAGAATGGGTAATGTCAATATCGCCCGAACTAAACCAAAAAACGAGCTCTTGGCTCAATGATTAGGACCTTGGACACTGATCAAGAGGGTCGCGAGTTCGAACCTCGAGTGGTGCACCACTTGTTTCTGGGTATGACTAGCTGGCGACGTCTAAAAAGCCAGAAACGGCCATTTCAGTCTCTCTTGTCTTTGCCGGCAATACTATTTAACCATTCTAGCAACTGATTTCATGGCCCGAGAAATGAGTCCCAAGGCAAAGGCGGAGAGGGAGAAGCGAGTTCCGTTAGCGGTCGGTGAATCTTCATGAACGAGCGACAAAGTATGTTTTCTTCAAAAATTATACCTTCGGTTGTAGAAAATATTTCTCATTAAGAGATTTAAAAATGTCCAAAATGTCCAATAATGAAGCACCGTAGCCGTCATCTATAAATGCTGCCTGTTAAGTGTGCATCATGGTCTACATTTATTATAAAACGTTGTGAGCCCTCTACGATATCTTCTAAATGGTGTTTAGAAATGCGTGACAGTCCGTGCGCAACAATTCTACAGCCCTGAATGCAAGCTTAACAACTGGTCGGAGATCAAAACTAGTGGAGACTGAAAAACGGTTTATAAAACCGGGAGATACCTATTCTTTAGGCCAATAAACATAAGAATGACCTTTTTGTTACATGTTTCCCATACAGTGTATTTGCATTTACCGGGTAATTGAAAATGAACGGCAAGAAGTCATACGATTTAGGTGGTAA